AGACTTTAAAATGAAGACTACAATAAAAGACAAAGAAAGGCACTACATAATAATAAAGGGATTGATTCAACAAGAGGACATAACCCTAGTAAACATCTATGCACCCAACATAGGAGCCCCTAAATATATAAAACAGATTTTGACTGACATAAAGACAGAGATCAACAGTAACACTATCGTAGTAGGGGACTTCAACACCCCGTTGTCACCAATGGACACATCCTCCAGACAGAAAATCAACATGGAAGGCCATTAAGTGACCTTAAATGACACTTTAGACCAGCTGGAGTTAACTGATAGTTTCAGAGCATTACACCCCAAAGCAACAGAATATATTCTTCTCAAGTGCACATGGAACGTTTTCCAAGACAGACCACATGTTAGTACACAAACCAGTCTCAATAAATTTAAGAAGACTGAAATCATATCAAGCATCTTCTCTGACCATAATGCTATGAAACTAGAAATCAATTATAAGAAGAAATCCAAAAGCACACAAATACATGGAGGCTGAATAACATGCTACTAAAATAGCAACTGGGTCAAAAATGAGATCAAGGAGGAAATCAAGAACTATCACGAGACAAACAGAAGTGAAAATACAACAATCCAAAATCTATGGGATGCAGCAAAAGCAGTCCTAACAGGGAAATTCATAGCAATGCAGGCCTATCTAAAGAAACAAGAACAATTTCAAATCAACACACTATCTTTACACCTAAGGAAATGGGAAAAAGAACAGCAAGCAAGTCCAAAGGGAGTACAAGGAAGGAAATAATAAAGACCAGAGCAGAAATAAATGAAATAGAGACCAGAAACAGAATGCAAAAGATCAGTGAAACCAAAAGCTGGTTTTTTGAAAAGATAAACAAAATCGATAAACCCTTAGCCAGACTCACCAAGAAAAAGACAGGACCCAAATTAATAAAATTAGAAATGAAAGAGGAAAAGTGACTACAGACACCTCAGAAATACAGAAAACTGTTAAGAAAATACTATGAGCAACTATATGCCAACAAATTCAACAACCTGGAAAAAAATGGATAAATTTCTAGAAGCATACAATCTACCAAGTCTGGACCAAGAAGAAACAGAAACTTTGAACAGACTGATTACTACCAAAGAAATTGAATCAGTAATGAACAAGTTTCCAACAAACAAATATCCTGGACCAGATGGCTTCACAGGCGAATTCTACAAAACATTCAGAAAAGAATTAATACCTATTCTCCTCAAATTATCCCAAAAAGTACAGAAGGAGGAAAGGCTCAAGCACATTTTATGAGGCCACTATTACTCTGATACCAAAATCAAACAAAGATATTACAAGAAAAGAAAACTACGGGCCAATATCCCTAATGAACATACATGCAAAGATCCTCAACAAAATACTAGCAAACCGAATTCAGCATCACATTAAAAAGATCATACACCACGATCAAGTGGGATTCATTCCTAGTATGCAAGGTTGGTTCAATATCCACAAATCAATTAACGTAATACATCACATTAACAAAATGAAAAATAAAAATCATATGATCCTATCAATAGATGCAGAAAAAACATTTGACAAAATCCAGCAGCCATTTATGATCAAAACTCTTAGCAAAGTGGGAATAGTGGGATCATATCTCAACATCATAAAGGCCAGATATGATAAGCCCACAGCAAACATCATACTCAATGGGGAAAGGCTAAAAGCTTTCCCCTTAAAATCAGGAACAAGACAAGGCTGCCCACTTTCACCACTTCTATTCAACATAGTTCTGGAAGTT